CCCCCTGCCCAACATCCAATAAATGTTATTCTTATATGTGCATTTATGTGTTGATTAGTTAATACCAATTTGATGGTGAGTACAAATGGATCCAGTTTGTTTTTAAGCAAAATTATCTGTGCTTAAAGAATGTCGGTAATATTTTACTCATGAAATCAAAAATAGTTAAACTTTAGTCAAGATGCATAAGGACAAGCATATTCTCATTGGCTTTTGTTGGATGTAGGCTCTCAGGCACAGATCACAGAACCGTGGGGCTAGCTATTACACGTGGGGCTGAGGGGTCCGTGTTCTAATCCTGCCTCTGCCAGCTTGGAGATCTTTTATTAATTTCTCACCTCATGGGAATAATGACAATATAGTAACTACCAGAGTGTTAATGTTGATTAAATTATGTATTTTATATTTGTACATAATTCAAAGTTTTCATGTTCCATAGAAATATATCATTAATATTTTATTAATATATAAATATTAATCATTGAATTTTCCCACAAAGTCATCCAGTTGACTCAGTCGACTTAGATAGCTCCAACACTTGGCCCCTGTTATCTAATACTGTACTCAGGGTCAAGTTGTTGCTCAGCTGAAAAAGAGGACTCCTTGTAGAAACAAGCTATGAAAGAGATAGCATTTGACTCCTTTCTTTGCATCACCTCCTCTGAAGCCTGTGTCACCTGAAATTTCATTGTCAGCTGCTGTGGTTACACCTGGTGACACTCCAGTTGTCCCTTATGAAGGTAAAGAAAAAACAAACACCTGGCTAAAAAAAGTGCACAGGCACCACCAATTTTCAAGTAATGGGTGTATATAGTTCTAACATGATATACTTTAAGAAAGCAACTCGTGAAAATGTAATATATTACATTTTAATTACATATAAGGAATAATCACCTAAGTCTAATGTTTTTATTCTGACAAATATTGTCCTGAGCAGCACTGCCTGAAAACAGGTGCTTAACTGAGGCTGGCATACTTGGTTCTGAGCTTAATTTACCTGATATGCCCCCAGCACTGGGGAAGGTGGGGCTTGCTACTCCTGTCGTGCCTGCACTTCCAGCTGCTGAGGTGATGGGAACTGAAGTTCTAGTAATGCCTGGGGAAAACACAAAACAAACTTTTCATCTAAAGTCTATTTGGACTTTATTATCAATTTCTACTATAGAAAATAGAATAAATGAATCCAGTGACTTTCTGCCCAGAGTTCTCTGCTCTCTGAGATTTTCTTCTCATATTTTCTCAAAGATTCTGGTTAGTTATTTTATTTATTTATTTATTTATTTTTGCTTTTGTTTTACAAAGACATCTTTCTGCATTTTGAATTGGATCACATTAAGTCTTCATACATTTGTCTAAGTAACTGTTTTAAAATAAGTAGAACCTTAGGCCCTAATCTCTATTCCCTAGGGCTGATAATAACAATGATAAAACTCTATTATGAAATAGCTGATTGCTATTTTTACACTTAAAACACCTAAAGAGTAAAATATGTTATTAAATATACACATATTTTCTCTCAACTTACATTCTTTTAAAAAAAATTGAGATATTTACTGCTGTTGTAGATGCTAAGGAAGAAAATAAAACTGAAAACCATATTATAGCCAATCAATATAAATTGATCAAAAACAAGTTAAATTCTGTTTTTTAAATAAGTTTAAAGAAGAGGGAAAAGCCTAGTAAACTACTTGTTTGAAATATTTTTTCAAAAGCCAAACTTTCATATCAATTCTTTCTTAAAAACCCAAAGTTCCTAACAATCTATATCATTAGATATTTTGATGTCACATGTAAAACCAGGAATTAATATACTGACCTGTAGTAAAAGGTTCAGTGAAAGGAGTTGTTCCTGATAAGAGAAACAGAAATCAATGAATTTTTCTGGCTATAAAGGAAAAATACTAGACTAATTGCTCTCCTGTTAAATAGTTTTCAATATAGACAGTCATATATTTAGTGTTTAGAGTTAATAACAAATTTTGTTTCACTTTTTAAATAGTGACATGATGTACTTCCAATGAATGTATGTGTCTGTATGTGTATACATACACATACGCATATGCTGAATTCTACTAAATGCAGAATGGAACAAATATATATTTCATTATGACAAAATCACTTCTCTGTTATGCAGATGCTGATTTTGCAGTTTACGGTTTCTTCAATTTCCCTCCGCTTCTGGTTGTCTGCAGCTTGGAAATTTTTCTATTAAATAGTGTTTAGTCTATAAGGGCTTGAGGGGGAAAGGAGAAATATTTTTTAAATTTATTTTTATGATTTGATATAACAAGCTTGTGAAAATAAATCTGAAGTTCCCAATAAACAACTGTTGTAGATTATCAGTAAACTTCCGAAAGAAGAGGCCATGTTTTGTCTTTGTATTCCCATTGCCTGAACATTGCTAGAGCTGTGGTGGGAGTTCATTAAATGTTTGGTGAGGGGTCTGTGCACGTAAAAATAAGCCTTCATTAATTTGAGATTTTTATAAACAATAAAGAGTCAGGTATTTCTCTCTTTCAGTGTTAATTTCTATTAAAAATCCCTGGCAACAATGACATTTACTATTTTATAGAAGAGGAGGAAGAGAAGGAAGGAGGAAGAAAGAAGACAGAACTTCTCACATAATCTGTTTGATTCTCGTTCTCCATCAAACCACGCTGGCCTTCTTTCTATCTTTCATACCTGCTGTTTGCAGTTCTCCGTACCTGGAACGTGGTTCTTTCTGCTCTTTTTCTAGTTAAACTGTTATCTTTTCTTCAGTCTTTCCTTAACTCCCTGACTTGATTAAATCCTCTCTCCTTCATCCCATGCCCCATTTTAAACACTTCATAGCTCTTGTGTTGATGAAAGTTTCTACTTGTTTTTGTAATTAATTGATTGATATCCATCTTTCTGACTAACTTTAGGCTCTTTGAAGGCAAGAACCACGTCTATTTTAATTCAGTTTTGTATCTCCAATGCCTATCAGAGTGCCTAGCACATAATAGGTGTTTGATAAATACTTGTCCATAAAATGAATGAATGAATGATGAATGAAGTCAAAGTATTATATCAGAGGATGGGACAAGATGGCTGACTAGAGATATCGGTCACCAGATAATCTCAAAAAGAAGGAAAAGTTTCAGATGAAAAAAAAACATAGCTCAGGTGCAATTCTGAGGAAAAAGTCTCAGAACCTACCACAGATTCCATGGGAAGAAGTTGTGGAACAGAATAGGAAGGAGCAAGATTTTGGCAGAGATCAGACCCCAAGGAACTTGGAGCCCCATGGAAAGGGTAGATGGGGGTGTTTGTTTTTCCTCCTTTCACATCTCTATAGTCAGTTGGCTCCTGAGCTGCTGGAGAGCTTCTCTACCCTCACAAGCCCAAAAGCTCTGCCACCAGTGAACTGGGAACTTCTTGAGAACAGAGCACTGGGCTGCCAGCCCGCTCCAAATGGCTTCCCCTCACCACAGACCTGAGCTGAGGTAGTGGGCACCATACTGCTTCTCCACCCATTGTGTGCCTTTGTACTCCCCAGGGAGCTTCAGCCCTTCAATTTTCTTGTCACTGGTCTCTAAACAAACATTTCCCAACTCCTGCCCAGACTGTGGTGGTCACAGGGGGCTGGTGGATCCCAGGAGAACTATGTGATCCCAGAGCTTGGACATTCCAGGTGGGCTGCCTTTCAGGCAGAAGGACAAAGAGGACCAGAGTGCCAGCTGTCCTCCATTTAGACTCTTCTCCCCCTCCCATCCTCTGTCCACTGCTGTGGCATTATGCCCCAAGGGATGACTGAGCCAGGGCTCTCAGGAATGGCTGCTTTCCTCTGTTGGCATGCCCACCACACCAAAGCTTCCACAGAAAGTGGGGCTCATGCCTTTCTTCTTAAAGACCTGCAGCAAACCAAGTGGTGCTTGGTCTGTGAGCTCCCTGCCTGCCAGACCTCCCTGGTGCTACTTGCCTGGCTGCTCCAACAGAGCAGGGCATACTCTGAAGCTGAGAGACATTTAGCCTGCTTGAGCACTCCAGGGGGAATTCAGGACCAGCATGCTTCTCTCTAGCACATTCAGGGATTGAGCCCAGATGATCAGAGGACAGCCCTGCATGCTGGATCCTGTACCCCCAGGATTCAATCATGTCACTCAGGGACACAAAGAGGAGATTTGTGAACTAATCTTGGGAGGCAAGGGAGCCCATGCTGGCAAAATTGAAAGGAGAGTGTAGTGTGGGTCTGAGCCACAGCACACTTGTGGAGCACCCCTGCCTCAACAGGAAAGCACACTTTCAGTCCAAGGTGGGATCCTGGGAAGGAGAGCCCCCCCGTTCACGGTGCCATTGCTGGTGAGCTCAGCTAGTTCGGGTGGCTACTTGCAGTCAGACACCAGAAGGAGATCCACAAGACAAGGGAAGAGGAAGAAAAGCAAAACCCACACCTGACTGCCAGCCTATGAATCCTAGATAGCCTGTCCCCCATAAGCAGACATTTTGGCTTGGTGGGGCTGCTTCAGCCCCTCCCTTGTGGCTATCCCCAGTGGCCTGGCAGCAAACTCTTGACCCTTGCTGAGACAGCTCTTGTGACTGCCTTTGTGGAGCCTGAACACAGGCTCATCTGATCCAACCCCAACCAGCCTCACTCCCCCGCCTGACTCTGCTGTGGTGGAGAATAAGGAGTTCCCTGAGAGTTCCAGAGCCCCAGCCACCACTTTGGGCATCTCAGTACTTCTCCTGGTCAACTAAAGTCAGATGCAGGTCCCTAAAACATACTGCTGCAGCTGGCTCTTTACAGCAAGCACCACCTACTGGCAGGGAGGACAACCTGTACAGCCCATTACAGCATTTACTGACTCAATCATACAGGGCATGGCTGACTCTTACCTGCAAGCACCACCTAGTGTCTAAGAGATTAAACTGGACATCCCAATATAATCCACACTGTTAATAGGACCACTAGGCTGGGGAAAGAGAAAGGAGTTCAAAGATCTTCATCTCCTCTTGTTAACAAGAGACAGAAAATGTACCCACACATATAGTACACCACCACTATAGCCTACAAATAACTAGCAATTGAGAAAGCCACCACACTAAGGATATCTATAACCAGAGTACTTAGACCCAGTACTTAGACCCCCCCAAAAGTACCCACAAGCAAAGCCAAAGGTCTTTACCCAAAATATGCTACAGACACACTCTTAAGAGTGAGGGGGAAAAAACAGCCCCATCTAAACAAAATAAAATCCAAAACAAGAAATGATAACTGCTTCAGATGAGAAGGAATCAGTGCAAGAACTCCAGAAGTATGAAAAATCAGAGTGAAAAGATACCCCCAAAGGAGCATACCAGCTTCTAGCAAGGGGTCCTGGACAAAATGAAAATACTGAAATGACAGATAAAGAATTGCAAATATGGATTGTAAGGAAGCTCAATGAGATCCAAGAAAAAATGGAAAACCAACTCAAAGAAACTAGAAACATAACTCAGGAAATGAATTAAAAACTTACTAAAGAGATAAATATATTGTTTAAAAAAATAAATGGAACTTCTGGAAATGAAAAAAAATTCATTTAAGAAAATATAAAACACAGTGGAAAGTTTTAAGAATAGACTAGACCAAGCAGAAGAAAGAATTTCAGAGCTTGAAGACAACTATTTCAATTAACCCAGTTGGTCAAAAATAGAGAACAAAGAATCCAGAGGAAGGAAAAATCTACAAGAAATATGTGATTATGTAAAATGGCCAAACATAAGAATAATAGATATCTCTGATGGAGAAGAAGAAAAAGCAAAAGGCCCACAAAACCTAATTGAAGAAATAATTGAAGAAAAGAGAGAAATTCAACAAGAAGACATAACAATCCTAAATATATGTGCACCTAACATAGGCACTCCCAGTTACATAAAGCAAATTCTTCTAGATTTAAGCAAGGACATAAACAGCAGCGTCTTAATAGTCAGGGATGTCAATACTCCACTGACCAAGCTGGACTGATCATCAAAAGAGACAATGAATACTTAAAAAAAAAAAACACTTAAACAAGAGTCTAGAACAAATCGACCTAACAGACATTTACAGAACATTCTACCCAAAAACTACTGAATATACATTTTTCTTATCAACACATGGGACATTTTCCAAGATTAATCATATCTTAGGCCACAAAACAAGTCTTAGTAAATGTAAAACAACTGAAATTATATGATAAATCTTCTTAGACCACAGTGGGATAAAACTAGAAATCAATTCCAAGAGAAACACTCAAATCTACACAAAGTCATGGAAATTAAACAACCTGCTGCTGATGATTCTTGGGTCTAGGATGAAATTAAGATGGAAATCAAAAAATTCTTCAAACTGAAAGACAAAGGAGACACAAGCTTTCAAAATCTATAAGATACAGGAAAAGCAATCATAAGTGGAAAGTTCATAGCCTTACATGCCTATATCAAAAAGACAGAAAAATCACAAAATAATAACCTAATGTCACACTTTAAGGAACTAGAATAAGAAGAACCAACCAATCCCAAAGCCAGCAGAAGAAAAGAAATAACAAAGCTCAGAGCAGAACTAAATAAAACGGAAACAAACAAACAAAAAATACAATGGATCAATAAAAAAAAAGTTGGCTCTTTGAAGAGATAACAAAATTGATAGACCACTAGCCAGATTCACTACACATAGAGAGAAAGGAATCAAATAACCTTAATCAAAAATTAAAAGGAGACATTACAACTGATACCACAGAAATACAAAATATCATCTGTGAATAGTATGAAAAACTCTATGCAAACAAATTAGAATACCTAGAAGAAATGGATAAATTCTTGAACACAAACAACCTCCCAAGCCTGAATCATGAAGAAATAGAAATC